CTAATGCATAAGAGTAACATCCTCACTACAACCAACTTAGCTTTCATACATTCACTTCCCGAAAAGTACTCTCAGCCCCTCCGCTGACACACAATACTGGAACAAAGGAGTATGCAAGGTAAGCATTCCCTATAGTAAACGCGGGCTGGTCCACCTGTCTCCTACCGGTCCCCACCCATAGAGTTTCACGCATCTTTCCCCTCACCAGTGGCTACATCATTTGACGCAGAGCAATCGATACTCATTCACACATACACATTCATATATACATACACACAGATACACTCACAGACACACATATACACATATACATACATGTACACACATACATACGTGCACACACACACGCACACACATATATATGAATGCGGGTCTGAGGCAGATATGCAAAAGCCGAGAGGGGGGTGTGTATTGCCGGCCCGCAGCCATTTCAGTAGTAGGAAAGCAGCGCGACCCCTCATATATGTGTGTGCGTGCGAACGTATGTGTGTGTGTTACTCGCAGGAGGTGTATTTTACGCGCAGAAATGTGGCACATGAGTCCAGATTGCCTTGTTTGGTTATCGGAGACCGATGGTGGTGGAAGTGACCGGAAGAGATTTCTGGCCATGAAGTCAGTACTGTCCTTCATCAGATAAAATTCATGGATGTCTCCATAAAATAAACTGCATTGAATCGTCTACAAGAATTCATAATTAGTACGAAGTAGGAACTACGCTGTGGGTCATTTAATCACGTAATCATCTTCCAACAGCAACGTTGATATCATGAGCGAAAGCTTAACATCGTTTCGTTTGGTCTATTTAGATTGCTACATTTTCCTCTCTGTGCTTATATGGCTTTGGATCTATGTCAACGGGGAGAATTCTTACTTCGGCCTTTGAAATTGCTTGTTCCAGAAAAATTGTGGGATGTCCGTTCAGTTGTCAGTAAAGTGTGGTCAGAGAATTTATTTTCCAGTGAGAGTACGGTTGTACTCTCCTATTTTATGTTTGCTGGGAATTTTTCCTTCATTGATTTTTATACACGGTGTTTGGGATACTCAGTGATTTGAACTAGCACCAACTCATTACATATAAAGAGAAGAAAACGATTCTTGAACCTCCAAAAACCCAAGTTTTTAGTCATCTACCGTCTCTCGGAGTTCAAGACCAAGTATTTTACGATTTGTTCAAATAATCTTGTAAACGAAGAGGAAAATCGGGAGAATTCAAAAACTTTTGAGAATTTGAGGAGCATAAAAAAATGCAGTAAAAAAGGGATTTTAATGAAACCACATACTACTGCACAATTTCGATAGTTTTTTCATGAAGTTGTCGAACAATCTTATGTAAATGGTGTAAATGGCAAGATTTATTTCGTAACCGTTGTGGTTATCCATATATCGATCCTCCTGATGGTGATGTTTCTTAACAGTGATGTTACCTTGATAAGTCTGAAGAAATGATAAAGATTGTCAAAAAAACATTCCGTTCAGCACATCTGTGGCTCAAATTTTCACTGGTTCAAAATACATTTGATTTTCAAATTGTTACTTGATTACAATAAATTGGAACCGTGTTTGGTTCAAATGCAGAAATGCGAATTCGGAAATAATTATGTCCAATATTCACAGTCCCAAAACATTCACGACTTGTATGAATGTTGTTGTTGTTAAAGAACCGAAGTGAATTTCTATTGATTACCCCTATTATCTTCAGCTGATAATTTAAACATTAATCCTATGTTCTTTTAATTCCATCATTCTTGTTCACTTTATCAAGCGTTTACATTGCTCTATTGCACATTTTACAACCCATCTTTTTCGGTGAAATTGAAAAGTTGCTGAGTTGCCAGTTTGATCTCATTTACGCAAACACATGTAATTTTCTATTAAAAGTGTGACGTTCGATAAATGTAAATGGCATTTACTTGGTGTCTAATGACATAGTCTCGAATATAACACGCAGCACTCCAGGACACGCACCGAGACGTCTGCTTATTTTTCCGTGCTATTCTATCACTTTTATCCTCCAGGGAGCTAAAACGATAAGTTTCCGAGTGGTAGCACTAACTCATTTGCTTGAGAACTACCACTTAGGGTTGGGAAGTTCGCGCGAACTGCATTATGGTGCAGTGTTGCACAGCGTTACCGCTCGCAAACAATGAAAGCTGACTGGAACATGCGAGAACAGAGGATATATATGATGATGGGAGGCATTCTCCTTATGATCGGTTTCAAGATTCTCAGGATCAAGTCCTTCTTAATTTTAGGTTGTTTCTTGCTTACAACTGTTCTGCACTATGCTTTATTCTTGAATGAAGTAAACCTGGGACTTCAAAATATGGGCGTTCATCAGATAACGTTCTACAATTATGTGACAGTAATCTCTGAAGATCTTAAAGAAGCTATCAAATTTTTACTAGGTCAGGTTCAACCTTAATGGAGTGAAGTGAATTAATATTGTTTTTCCAACGTTTTCGAACGACTCTATATAAGTGTTAAGAAAAAATGTTCCTGAATGTTTGAATTTTTCCCTTCTTCCAGATTCAACTGGATTAATAGCAGTATAGTGAAAATGGCCATTGACCAGCTTATTGACTCGTACGTCCCTTATACAGTGAAGCCGATAATTGCACATGCATATGCTGGACCATTTATTTTCTTGTATGTAGGATGGGCTTATTTATGGTTTAGTGTTTATGGAATGAACGAGTATTGGGAGTTAGGATGCATCATCATGGCTGCCATTGGTATTTTGCAGGTATGTTTGAATGATTTATATCCATATTTTGTTCTTTGCCTAAAACATTAAGATCAGTTAATTTCTTTTCCGTATGGTTTGAAAACTTGAATCAATTTTATGAAAATGTTGATTAAATTTTTTTGTTTCAGATTTTGACTATATTGTTTTGCAACTGGTTCGTCAGTGTTCATTGCTTGCTGACTTGTTCATATGTAATATGTTTGTTTCATCAGCATATCTTTTTTCTAGCATATATAATCAAGAAAATGAACTTCAATTTTGTGAACCGCCGAAATTAAAACTAATGTCAATTTTTTAGGAGTCCAATGTTGAGAAAGCTACAGTTGTAAAAGTAGTTCCAACCCCAAACAATGGATGGGCAGAAGTGGTTCCTTTGCGTAGGACTAAAGTATGTACGAAGTTGCTTTCTTTATAAAAGTTTATTTGTGCAGTCGATTTAATATCTTCCTGCGGAAGGAATTTAAAATGTGCGCAGTAAAAAATGACAAGCACTACTATTATGCTGCTATGCAATACGGTACCCTAACATACACTTTCTTAGACGAATTTCATTGTTATTCTTTGTTATTTGAAGATTGTGCAGTGCAGTCTATCTAGTCGCTATTGAAATTTACTTAAAAACGGAGTACGATGAGGAAGGAGTTTAGATGTACGCTAATTTCTGATTTATTTCTAACAATCCAAAAGTTTCATTTGCTTTCAAGCAATAAATAAAACTCTTTTTAATAATGAGTTTCTAGCGTCATAATAGAATTGGTTAAGAGCAATAAATATATAGTTTTTCAGTGCGGAATAATAGAATTGGTTAAGAGCAATAATATATAGTTTCTAAGCATAAGAACATATCTATTATAAAAAAAAACTAAGTTTTCTAACTCTTGCATCATGTACATTTAGGAGGAAAAATAGCAGTCTAATGAAGTATACTGAACAAGTGCGAAACTCACAGAAGTGAATTAGATTTAAAAATCTGCCTGGAAGAGGAAGCTCATGTTGTTTGCATGCAATTTTCAAATTACGGAATTCATTTTTAGCTGATCAATGGAAAAATAAAATTGTGGTTCGAATTTCAAAAAGTGCATTACACATTCATTGTGGAAAGGAAGACTTTTCTGGCCTTGGAACTGGACACAAACCAGCCAATGTCTTATTTTCATGAGTCACGAGGACTTGAAACACATGAAGCGATTTTAGAAAGAAAACAAGATTTGGGGGATAACAGGTGAATTCATTATGTAATTTTTTCATGACCGTGTCTTTGCGATTTTAGCAGCTGTTTTATTAATCGATGAAACTTTAATTTTAAGAATGGAAATGATTATTCCTCAGTTCATGGAGCTTTTCAAGGAACGAGCTACGGCACCATTTTTTGTGTTTCAGGTATCGTTTATTAAATCTTTTCTGGTTTTATTTGACGTTCTTGTTTCAAGCTCTATTAAACTGAGAACAAGGGCGCGTTCGTAGAGTCAACATATTAACTTCATTGAAAATTCATGTTATTTCCATGTATATTGTCACATTCACAACTTTTATATAAAAAAGAGATATCTCGTTTTAAATTATTTCTAGATCTGGTAACATTAGTCTGACTGATCCTTGTTCATAAAAGATTTCCTCCAAAACTTGGCAAAATAGCACGAAATTTGGTCTTGTGCTTTACTGCTTTACCGGCACTTTTGACTGCACTATCTATTGCGATATTTGTTTAAATAAGTTGTAACTGACTTTTTGAATAGAACAATATATTAAAGCAGTCGTATCGTTGAATTTATTTCACTGGTGGTCTTTGAGTTACAGGTTTTTTGTGTCGGGTTGTGGTGTTTGGAAGATATGTGGTACTATTCGTTATTCACACTAGTGATGCTTATGACTTTTGAAGCGACTCTTGTTAAGCAGCAGCTGAAAAATATGTCTGAAATTCGTAATATGGGTAATAAACCGTATATCATTAATGTATACAGGAATAAACGTTGGAATCGTATAAATAGTGATGAACTACTTCCTGGCGATATCGTTTCTATAAGTATGTTTTGTGTCCCCATAGCTGCTAAAAAATTATGTTGCTACCAATCTTTATTATTGTTTTGTCTTAGAGTATTGCCTCTTAAAATAGTGAATAGCGTACTTGTAGGTCGCTCACCGGATGAAAAAGCGGTTCCGTGCGACTTATTATTGTTAAGAGGTCCCTGCATCGTTGATGAATCTATGCTTACCGGCGAAAGCGTACCTCAAATGAAGGTCATATCTTTATTTTATTCTTCTAAATGCATTTGAAGGTACATTTAGTAAAAATTGCCGTGACCCTCCTATTTCTTTTTAAGAAAACATAATTGCAGGAACCGATAGAAGATGTTGAGAAATCGCGTTATTTTGATATCGAAGCGGATAGTCGTTTGCATGTCGTATTCGGTGGCACAAAAGTTGTTCAACATACTTCACCTGGTGAGCTTGCATTGCTATATACGTTATCAAATATCGCTTCGGCTATCCTCAGAAGTTGGACTTAATGAACACGAGTTCTGCCTGTTGGAGTGTAACTTCTTCACTTAGGTATATATAAAATGTGAAGTAAGGTTAATCTTTTGGGAAAATTTTTTATTAAGCAATAATTGATCTTCGTTTGCTTCATTTAATTTGCTCTAAAAATATATATTCGTTATATGGTTTATAAAGTTTTTCGGTAAAAGCGTAGGATTTATTGTTGGAAAAATTTCTAGGTATATTAAGGCATGATGGTATGTTTACATTATTTAAGCAAAAAATGAAGCCGGCATAAAAGCACCGGACGGTGGATGCATTTGCTACGTTTTACGAACGGGATTTAATACTAGTCAGGGGAAATTGTTACGTACAATTATGTTTGGCGTGAAGCGAGTGACCGCAAATAATATCGAAACCTTTGCATTTATATTATTTCTGCTAGTTTTTGCTATTGCTGCAGCTTCTTATTTATGGATTAAAGGTATTGAAATCTACTTATTTTGGTTTCGTTCCATAGGTCATATCCTGCATTGCTTTGACTAATCCTTTGCAGTAAAGATTTTGATTATTTTTCGTTTTTAGGAAGCGAAGATGAGTCGCGTAGTAAATACAAGTTGTTTCTGGAGTGTTCACTGATTCTTACTAGCGTAATTCCTCCTGAGTTGCCTATAGAATTGTCACTAGCTGTGAATAATTCACTGATGGCACTGCAGAAACTTGGTAAAGTTTATTTTTCATGCGGTATAGGCTAGAATTGTTTTTTAAGGAATATTACAGGACTGTGTAATGTTTTCTTTAAATTTGATAAAAGTGAACTCTGAAAATCTGAAGACTTCTCTGTATCAACTTATTAAACTACAGATGCTGTTTCCAGTTTAGCTTTTTTTAGGTGTGTTTTGTACAGAACCTTTTCGTATACCATTTGCTGGTAAAATCGATATATGCTGCTTTGATAAAACAGGAACTTTAACAACAGATAATTTAGTTGTTGAGGGTAATTATTTCAAACCTTCATTATTATTTGCAATTGTTTAAATCTTTGTTTGTTTTGAATACCTTTCTCAGAACCCGATTTTTTCTTGGACTTTTCAGCATTTTTTAATGGCTTTATGAGTATACTTCAATGAAGGTAACTTTTTGCAGGAGTAGCTTTTGCGGATTATGTGTGTTCGGATGATGAATGCCATATTCATCGTTTACCATCTGAAGCCCCACCAGAATCAATAAAAGTGCTAGTGACATGTCATAGTTTAGTACGATTTGATGAGGATTTAGTTGGTGATCCATTAGAAAAGGCTTGTCTCGGTTGGGCCGAATGGAATTTAACAAAAAGTAATTTTATCCTTTATATGTTATAATTATCGATATATCTTGGAAGAGTGCTTAAACAGTTTATTTCCTCACATAAATGGTTTTATAATAGTATAGTTACTAAATTATGGTTTCATATTTCAGACGACACAATGATTCCTAGAAAATCGAAAATGCAGCCACTCAAAATTTTTCATCGGTATCATTTCTCCTCGTTCTTCAAAAGAATGACGGTGATCGCTGGTTATGTTGCAGCTGGGACAAATGAAACAAAACATATTGTAACTGTGAAGGGCGCTCCAGAAATACTGGAGAGTATGGTTTGTGTTTTATGCAAAGTTATCTAAGGGTATTTTTTTGTTCAGCCAGAACATAATATTTATTGGTTTTTGTAAAATAATGCTCGTTCTTTTTACAGTACGAAACAGTCCCTGAAAACTATAACCGGGCATACCGATATTTGGCACGACAAGGTGCGCGAGTTCTTGCTTTAGGCATTCGAGAAGTTGGATCTTTAACCCATCAAGAGGTATACATATGTAATTTGGAATTGTTGAATTGATTTTATTTTTAAGTCGTCATTTGGTAGATTCTAGCTTGTGAATTAAATTTTAATTATTTGAAATATATTTAAGTAGAAGACCTTTTCTTCATATGATGGGTGGTATGTTTATTTTTTTAGATACGGGATCGAAAGCGAGAAGATTTTGAACGAAATTTGACATTTGCTGGTTTTGTCGTTATATCATGTCCCTTAAAACCAGACACTAAAGCGATGGTGAAAGAAATTGCGGAATCATCTCACAGAGTGGTGATGATTACTGGCGACAATCCTCTCACTGCTTGTCATGTTGCCAAAGTTCTTCGATTCACGAGGAAGTCAACACCTATTCTTATTTTGGATGAACCTCAAGGTTTTAACATTCATTTATTCGTTAACTTGTTTTTTATATGAGGAACAGTATTGGGAGGTGCATTGTCAGTTTCAGATTTATTTGCTTGCTGATCTCTAAAGTTTAAATCTGTGGGTTTATACTGGCACCATCTTCCTTAAAAGGTTGATGCCCACTGAGTTCGGCGAACAATGTCGGACAGTTAATATACTAGGAACAAAAAGCTAGGATTTTTTTTAAAAGGCTATAGATCTTCGCGATGCACTTCACTTTTTGTGAGGTTGAATAAAGGCTTTTACAGTTATTACAACATTGTTATTACGTTTCCTATCGATGTATAAGCGGCACAGTTTTTAGGTGATAACAAATGGGTATGGAAATCAGTAAATGATGATAGTGAATTCAATTTGCTATTGAGCCCAAGTGTTGAAATGGTGTCTTTTATTAATGAACATGAGTTCTGTGTCACTGGACAGGTATGTTCCACTATTTTGTTGTTATTTTTTTAAGTACTGATTGAACTGTTTTCTAAATAGATTGAGTTCGTTGAATGTTGGGTGTAATTTTTATTAGACTTTATTTTCAATTAACGCTGCTGAATCTTGGAATAAAGCTGCAAGTTATTTCTGGGTGTGTTTGGTCGACCATACCTAATACTGAAAGTTTAACCATATTTTGATTTGCATAACTGGATATATTTGGTTCAATTTTAGAAATAAGTGAATACGCGCCATGTTTCAGGCATTTATGTATCTTCTCAATAAGCATACTAAGTTTCTGCGGCACATTATCCGTCATATAAAGATATTCGCCAGAATGGCACCTAAGCAAAAGGTAATAAGATGACATGTTTCAGTGTATTCACTTTGTTGCGGCATTGCATTGATTTCTACGTTTTTGGTTTCTCTATGAGTTATGATTAAACGTATTTGTTGCTGCCTTTATGATTTTAATCGAATGTTTTGCAGAAAATTGGTAACAATTAGTGGATTTCAAACTGTATAATTATACGGATATTTTTTCAAGAAGTAGAAATCCAGGAAGGATTATTTTTGTATTATTTAACTATCTTATCATAAATTCAGGAACGAGTTATAAATGAGCTTAAGGGACTTGGTTATATCACACTCATGTGTGGAGATGGTACAAACGACGTTGGTGCATTGAAACATGCTGATGTCGGTTAGATTTTACTATTTTTTTATTAAATTTTTATTATAATTTGTTATAACTAAAGATCAGTAGTTCTGACCTAGTTTTGGCGACAAAATTTAATTTTCTAATGTGCAAAAAAAATTTCGTTTCATCCTTTTGTGTTTAATTCTTTTTCTTATGAATCTTTTCGTCCAGGTGTTGCATTACTTTCTCACCCATATGATGCTTCAAAAGCTGGTGAAAAAAAGCGAAAGAAAGAAGAGGGAAATAAAGCAAATTCTTCCTCAGACCATCTTTGTCAGCCTATTTCGAATTCACATACTAATTCAAGCAATTCACTGAGCATTGTAAAAAAACCTCTGGTACAGCATTCAGCACGAAGGACGGATGCACCCGCTGGTGCGAGACAAATCAGGTTTATCTTTCAATTGGATATTTTTGTTGGATCATTGTAAAGGGATTTTATGATTTTAATATATTTTACGCTAGGCATAATCCTATATCGAGTACTACCGCCAAGCAGCTTGAGCAGATGATGAAGGATTTAAAAGATGAAGAAAAGGTTCAAGTTGTTCGACTTGGCGATGCTTCCATAGCAGCTCCATTTACTTCGAAATACACATCTATACAGTCGAGTGTGTTTTTTTTTTGAACTTACAGAATATAACAGTCCACTTTTAATTTAGAATTTTTTTGTTTGGTTGATTGGTTGCAGTATGTCATGTTATCAAACAAGGACGGTGTACTTTGGTTACGACGTTGCAAATGTTCAAAATTCTTGCTCTGAACGCTTTAGTCCTTGCATATAGTCAGAGTGTACTCTATTTGGATGGAATCAAGTTTTCTGACGCTCAGGCTACTATCCAAGGTCTACTGCTTGCAGCATGCTTCTTGTTCATTTCGAGATCAAAGGTGATGTTTCCATTCATGGCAAATTTTTTATAATCCTGTACGAATTTTATTGTGTGTAACTGTTCTATCTTCCCTCTCACAACTTGAGATTCTCTTCTGTTACAGCCACTCAAAACACTCGCCAGGCAGAGACCTACACCAAATATATTCAATGCATATACACTTCTTACGGTATCTCTTCAGTTTGCCATTCATTTTGGTTGTTTGATATACGTTGTGCGAGAAGCTCAAGCAGCAGATCCTCGGTGAGTAATTTTCAACATAAGCTTTTTGGTTATTTTGTTTTATATATACCGTGATGTACGTCAAAAGTGTATAGAAGTAACGGGTTGTGTCACTCGTGCTGATATACTTTTTATAGCGAAAAAGTTGATTTGGAAGCAGAGTTCAAGCCAAATTTACTTAATTCAGCGGTTTATCTTATGGCATTGGCATTGCAGGTGGCCACATTTGCTGTGAACTATCGGGTTGGTTTAGATTTTGAGTCTTAAGACATTCTTTCAAATGGACAATGCAAGTTATTGATAAGTGCTAAAACATGCAAAATTGTCTAGATATGGATGATTTCTTTTTGTAGTAAATGCGAACTTTTTGGCATTGGTTTCTTAATCGTCTTTCGTTTACAGGGTCATCCATTTATGGAAAGTCTGCTGGAAAACAAACCCATGCTTTACAGTTTGTTGTTTTCTGCATCTGCTGTATTCACGCTAGCATCTGGCATATCTCCAGAACTGACGGAGAAGTTTGAACTTGTTGAATTGCCAGTCGGAGTAAGTGGCCCCAGTTATTAAGTTGAGTCTAGGTTTCCACCCTTTAATAAACGATCTTATGATGGAGACGGATAAAGTTTGGGGTATTTGAGCAGTTTATTTTGCATTTCATTGCACAGAGTACCGTTTTCGATGCGCTGGTATTTTGGTACCTTTCTGAAGTGGGACAGTCAGCAGAGAGGACTATTATTATAAATGTGGACTTCTGTCAGATTTTAATATCATTTTCTGTTGGTAACTAACAATGTTATTTCAGTATCGAAAAGCCTTATTAAGTTGTATAGTGGTGGATTTGCTGGCTTGTTTTATAATTGATCGAATATTGTGCTTTCTGCTTGGTGATATGAGACCTGCATAATATTGGTAAGGAGAGGAATGGCTATTGTTGATTCACGACAAAAAACATGTGTGGTTATATGGCAATTTTTTAAATCGTGCAGCGAAAATTTTGTTTTATATGGCTCAATTTTTGTTTCTTTTTATTTGCTGCTCGTAACCTTGCTAAAATTGTTCGTAATTTGTTAATCATGGATTTTAACTACCCAGCAGTGTGTTCCAAAATCATTAAGAGCGTTGCAGTATATCTTCTGATAGTAGTGCATTTTGCCAAGTTTGCAGAAGAACAACTATGACGGAAAAAAACTAGTCAATTAGTTAATGAGAAAATAGTTTTAAAACTAAATGTCCAAGCCATTAATTATGATTCATCAAGCATTAAAACGTTGCATAATTCCGTTTCACAGTTATTCAAATAGATTTTTGCATTGGTTCCCTATTTCATTATACAACGTAAAAAATTACTTGGATGAAGATGAAGCCTTGCAAATTTTATAAAAAGATAAAAAGGATGATTTCTTGGATATTCTTTTCGAATATAAAAAGTGACTGATTCGTTTTGTTTGATTACCCCAACTCCATTTTGAATTCGGGGTTGAAATTCTCGAAAAGCGCTTTGTTTGTGACTTTATAGGCTAAAATTGTAGTTTCAGTTCGGATACCTTCTAGGACAGGTGTGATTTTGTGAGATGGAAGAAGTTAAACGAGATTATTCTACCATTTTTATTTATTCAGAAGCGCAAAACTTTTAATTTTTATGTTTTAGTTCGTCGTGCTTAATGTTAACAGTTTTTGTTTTTATATTGTTGATGCAAACTATTGATAAATGTTTGGAATTTCTCGTTTGTATAACCTATAGCAGCAAATAATACAGGGAAATTTTCAATAATTCGCATTAAATTCTAATTCTACTGCCTATATTCCCTCCACCGTAACTCTCACGAATCAGTACTGAAGTTAGTAAGTATCTTGATTTATGATGAAATGCAAATAGTTGTAAGCATATTTATAAGTCACGAAGGTAGCTTGAACATAGCTTTCTGTCACAGTTGTTTTTGCTTCTTAACTATTTGTTGATACGAAAAAATTTCTTCGCAAAAAATTCTGGATGTTTTTAAGCCTACGGCTCGTCTTGGATTTGATTTTTGAAGACTTGAGGAGATTCCTTGTAACTGTTTGGTTATATAGGAAGTTAAATCAATCCTGAGTTCCGTAATCACTTCGGTAAGTACTTTGGAGATCGCTTCTGTTCAGTATGGTAATGTGTGATTTGCTTGCCAACTTGGCTGCCTCGGTTTCTTTACCTTATCACTGGTCTTTTGCGGATGGAATAGTTACCTCGACTTCATTGGACTTCATGGAGTCAAACTACGCTCGAAGTGAGCAGATTGTTTTATCATCAACTGTGTTTTTACAAATCAGGAGCGTTCTACAAAAAAAGGTAGAATATTGCTACCTCGCAAAAAAACTGAAAGACCATAATGCCTTAAAATATAAACCATTAGCCAGAACACTCCTCCGTAATTGTTTGTTGCATGGGTCAAGAAAAAAAATTGTAAATAAAAAGTTAAGTGCCTTTTAAGGTATTAAGAATGTTATTAAAGTGAATTTCTAGCAAATAATTTATTAAAAAGCGACAAGCATACAGCAGAAAGCATCAATCCAAGTAACGAAAATGAGTCATAACCTAATCAATGTCGAGCAAGATATGAAGTAACGTTGCCTGTTCATTCCATAACCATCGCGTTTCTTGAGCTGATCTCTTCCCATTTCTGATCATTTCATCGCGTAGCAATCGTACAATCACTAGAACATCATTGTCTGTTACAGCCTCCGTTTCCTTATAGATTACTTTTGCCCAGTGCTCCCTGAAACTTTTTAAAGATTTACAAAAATTGTTTTTACACCCGTTGATAAGTTTTTCAATCATAATTACTTGAATATTACTTGAATTCCGAATTTATTACTTAAACAGAATATTACTTGAATTCCGAATTTCATGTCTGAGAAAACTAATAACTTCAAAAATCAAATCTGGTAAAGCTGACAATAGATCTGTAGGTAAGGATCCAAAACACTAAAAGAGATGATCAGTGAATTAAACAGCTCCAAAGCTAAAAATTATATCGAAACTTACAGTTTCGAGCAATTCATTTTCAGCAGTGCTAGATTTGCTTTAAATCCAAAATTTGGTTTTACGTCAGAGGCGTATATAGAACTGAAAATTATTATGAAGATTTGACATTCGATACACGCTTGAATATGATGATATGTTATTCAATTAGTTACTGAATTTATTTCAGGTTTCGCTCATAACTCACAAATATTCTATCGGTTCTGAGAAATAGTTGCTTTGAATAGTGTATCAGAGTATCAAAAAGCAACTGTTTAGAACCTCAGATTGTATCACCATCAAATTATGCCCGACAGCCTAACAGAGAGGACATGAAATATTTTTTAAAAATTCAATGTAAATCATACAGTGAGTGTTATATATATATATATATATATATAACTACAGAGTTTAATTTAAAAAAAGTAAACGAAGCACAGAAAAATTACCAAGAAAAATTTGCTTGAAGAACTACTTTTCTATGTAAGTCAGAAAAACTGATTCCAGCAGCATTCGCAAGTCTCATAAAGTCTTCTGAAGATATACTGTACTGAGCTAACAGGAAGTAAGCAATATGTTCTGCTTACTGTCTTTCATTAAAAACCCAAAATTTAAATTATCCATATAAATGATTCACTTTACAAAGGTATTTTCCATTCCGCTAACTAAATATTTTATCCTTAGTTTTTTTAAATTCTGTTCAAAGTTTCCATTTCAATATACTAACCAAAATTAGCTATGTCAACTAAAAATTTATAACTTTTTTAACAGAATGGTGAAGAAAAATTAAAAGATTATTATTGTTATTAGTAATGTGGAAAATTAAACTAGCCAAGCGAGATTTCAACTTTGTTGCAGATATTATCCTTCAGATAAAAACCATATTCAATCCACAATGATCCATTTGTATGACTGCCGTAACAGATGAATATCTGTTCTCCTTTACGGATGAATCGAGTAGCGATTACTTTATATAAATTCAGTTTGCTATCCCAAATTGCGCAACACTAAACGACAAAATATAAAGTCTAAAATATAGGAAAATCAATTTCTTCAAGCCGTTTTTAAAAGAAATTTGGAAATTACTTACTCGTTAATTAAAATCAATTATGAGGTCAACGCAAATGACCTGTTTAACCATAGCGACACATATAATCTCAACTGATGAAGTGGATGATATACCTGATTATCGTTGCTGTGATTCAGCATGTCGATAAGAGGTACAACTGCAAGTGAATCGCCTTCAACGTTGTCAATCAATGGATGACGTTTGTTATCGCGATATATGCATCTAGTATTTACAATATGCCAAGCCCATAAAAACTTATCCCAAATGATAGTGTCTGCTAATATCGTCACAAACTGCGAATGAAAATAAATATGCTGGATGAGTTCATCTGTAGTTCCTACTAACCTAGATTTGAGTTGTGTGTTCTCTCACGGATGGATATAAATAACAAGGAGATCCTTTACCCATTACAAATAAAAAGAAAAGATTTCCTCTTTAAAGGAAAAAAAAAATTATATCATCTAATAATGAAGTGTACCTTTTCATACATCATCTTTATTTCGTTCTTTTGCACATACCATTGCCTCCTTAAGCAAAATGGAAAATCTTCTGGTTCCAAACTTGGATGTAAATTAGCTGGTGTTGAGAACGATTTCGGAAGCATTTTCAAATAGGGAGCCCATTTCGAGTCCCGATCTTTTTCTAATAAGAAGAAATACACCAGTGCTTCGAATGGTTTTAAACGATGTCTAAAATACGTGACCAATATTTGGACTGGAAAGACAAAGTTCCAGCTTTCTTTTTATCATAAATTTATCAGTTAAATATGGTTCACTTACTACAAGGACGTTGAGAGAAGTACTCATGAGTAAATTTCATTACTTAAAAAAAACTGATATTCTACTTTGAATTTTATCTCTAAATATATCATCTGATTTTCTAATGCTTTAGTTCATTATAAATTTCAAATCGATCAGATCAGAAGGATTCCATAGAAATCCCGATTGAATTAGAGCTGGAGTTCCGTGGAATTTTTACTACTTATTGTCTTTTCTCAAAAATATCATGGAACGCATTTTTGTAGTTATCGCTTACAGATTAAAATAAACCTTTTGAAAACATCACAATAATCCGGTATTTCGGCAACTAATCCAGCAGTGATAATAATTTCAACTGGTATGCATATTATTGTTTCATTCTCCCGAAAGTCTGTTATTGCAAACAACCCCTTTCCATCTTCCTTTGAACAATCTCTGATATCGACACCAAAATGCTGGGCACCATTTTCAATCAACCATTGCATAAAATCTGCACAACCCATACAAAGTAAACTACCTGCAATATCCTATTGCTTGTCACCGCAATTTGCTTACTAAACAGAGACAACAACATCAGTAAACTATGTGAGCTAAGCGGAAAGCTGATTTCATTGTCAACTCAACCATGTCGGAAAGATAGATATCATTTAATGAATATCAGTCTCGTTACACGAATAAAGAGATTTCACACAACATTAAAAAAGATTTCTTTAATAAATCCCAAATTTTATTTCGAATGAATTAAGTAGGGACCACAAATTCAATTGATTGCAACAAATATATCAAAGATATAAGTTGCTCATACCTCCATCATATCACATGAGAAAATACCTTTGATATTATTGCCTTCCAGCAGAACGTAATATAAAACTGTAAATCTCACAGTATTTTTTCATTTCTCCGAACCTTGAACATTAGATATTCTAAGTTTATTTGAAAACTTCTTTCCTCTCCATTCGAACATATCCACTACAAAAAAAAAACAGAAAAAAGGAAATACAAAACTATATGAAGATCTTGCCCAAAAAACTAAAGTATTTATCTAATCGAAATCACGATTTCACGATTACCTTACATCTTGCTTATAGAAAGAACAATAAGGAAATCAGTGGTAAAGTGAGCACATGACGTTCATTATTTACTTGAGCCAATCTCACTAACGTTTTACATGAGTAGTAGTAATTACAGCAAATATAGATAATGAGGAACATTTCCAAGGTAACTTAGAAACACACAACAAGGAACATCATTCGAAAACATTAGTAAAATAAATTCGGAAGCAGTAAAGTGAAAGGTAGACGACGATGCCACTGCCAATGAAGAAAATAATCTCATGAACTTCTGTCAAGTTTCAGAGTAAGAAATCAGTAAAAATTCCGAATTTTGACATCCAGTACTGTTATATCTTAAGACCTTTACTTGCTTTAATTAGAGCAGCCTTTCCCACCTTATAGCCAGCTTATTAAAAAGTTTGCGGGTTGCTGCATTGCAAGCTATCTGCACAAACTTAACTTCCCTGCATCGCTCCCGGCAAAATAGAAGCTCTCTTCTTTTGAGCAATGTGTCATAGCCGGATTAATTCCATTATAAACTGATCTCAAGCGATACAAACCAATCCCAAATTCAAGCTTCATGCCTAATAAAAATTTCGGAACACTGCGTAAAAAGATGCAAAAAAATTAAGTTTCTGACTTCCACCTCCTATCATAAACTCTCCATATATCGAGGGATGTGCGAAACGCCGCACTGGTCACAAGAATGAATAGAATTTGCAAAATTAAAAAGGAACACATTGCTCATACGCCATGAATAATGCATCATGCGGTGACGACTACCCTTGCTGATTTCGAAAATTCTACTTCCATGATTAGCTTTGAGGAAAAAAAAATAAAGGAATGAAATGAAGCTGACGGAACTACCCACTCCGGAAGGATACAAATAATGCAACTTATGGACTAGTCTTGTTGCCAGATATAATCTACGGAAAATCGGCAAATGCTGCCGTTAGCATCGTGAAACCTATATGAAATTGCAAAGTCACAAAAAGTGATAATCATTTAAAACGCCGATAATGTGAAATCTCACACTTCTTTCATTCATCTAAGATAACCCTATAATGTGTACATTAAAATGAATGAAAACGTGCTTGAAACAAAGAAATATGAATAAAGCAATATTTACATAGCACACTCTTCAATTCGACTACAATAAATCCATGAATTCAGTGATTGCAATCTGAACAGATTGATGAATACGGACAAGCATTAATAGACTTTTATCAAAATGTAAAATAAAAACTTGTCAAAGTATAAAAACATGTCAAGTGATACAAATTGATTAATCGCCTAGTGACACCGGATTAATCGCCTGTTCAAAAACTAGGAAAAGTAAAAATCAGCTGTTGGTGAGATCTGAAAGTGATAACATTGAACATGCATAGAAACAAGAAATGTACATAGTAAGAAGCATCGTGAACAATAACAAATGGTTTCAATCATCAATGCAAAAATACATTTCGGCTAAGACATTCCACCGAAATAATGTAAGCCAGAACCAAAACAGTTCCAACAGACATGCCGCATTCATTCGGATAGCTGACCATAATTGCAAAAAGACCCAACCATATTATTGAGCCATTTTAACCCCTTTAATAATATATTATTTTGTTTGAGATCCAGTTAAATTAAAATAAAACATAAAACTGAAGCTATCGTACAAGACAGTTTTGTGACAAAAATGTTGAGCGCATCGAAAATTGTCTTGCATCATTCAACAAACGTTCAATTTTTGATATGCCCCTGTCCATACTATCAATGAATGCTTTTAGACATTTTTTAACATCATGCATCTCCTCACACAAATCATGCTCATTAAGACGTTGCATAATTTCTTCAGGTGAATCTAGTTTCCTCTTTCTTCTTTCTTCATCATCGCCTTCCTGCAAACTTTAAAAATACTGATCACCGACTATGCCTTTTACTAAAATAATGAAACGATTCTAATTAAAATTCCATAATGACCTCTTTTTTTACTCTTTCCATTAAGTCGTTACGATCTCCAATAATTTTATGCATATGTTTAAATGATAATTTAGTATTATATAATCTGGCATTTGTCACATCCAGTAACCACAGTTGTTTATTGTCAGAAAATTAGCTTATCCATAAGGATTCATCATCGCTTCTTACCTGCTTATTGCTTTCATTCTCTGTATCCTGCGAACATTGCTCAACTACAGAGTCGATGACGGAACAGATTGTCTCGATCAAATCAGCTGATTCACTTATGTTTTCATTACCAAATCTTTTACGTTCCAAATGCAGAAGCAATTCAAATGTTGAATTAAGTTTCGTTGAGGCAATTTTGGCAGTGGAACTATTTTTTTGTGGATACAAATTACACATTTGACACTGCTAAAATGGCATTCAATGAAAACAATTAAAAGTAATTCGCGTAAGTGGATTAAGATATTGATTTTGAATGAGATTTATGAAGATTCAATGGCTATGTGGCTGATGCTTTCCGTAAGATGAGAAAAAGCATTACAATTATTTCTACCTTCATCAGAACTTTCCCCATAAGAAACAAACCTTATTATGCGGTAAGCCTCCTACACGTGATGTACCTGCACCGGTTGCGGTAATTGCATCGAATCGACCCCAGTTCAGCGGTACATTTTCTGTATAATATATTTCTACCCAAACGTTTTTATTTACCCAAAATTCAGGCTCAAACATCGGAGGTCTGAATACAATTCGTAAAAATGGATTGGAATCCGGAACCAACTTAATCAAGCGTTGCATGCAAAAAATATCAGTCTGAAATAGTAAACCTTCAATAAAGCGCTGATGAAAGTTACAAAAAATGATAACAGAAAATGAAAATTAAATCTTATTCAAATACCTGATGTGTCTCACAAAAGTAATAAGCGACATCGACATAACTCACATCTGAATGCTTCTCGCAGATTACAACTGTAACATAATGAGTTATATAGTTGCAGTAGAAATCGCAAAAGTACATGTTTACGCGCGCTGGGTCAAGTAGCGTCATTGCCGGCACTAACATTCGAACATTACCAAAAGGCGAATGGGTTGGCAAACTTCCGTCGGGCAAGAGGCGAGCGGAAAAAAACAGACCTATAATTATGTCCTTATTATAGCGATAAACACAACTTCCGCTGTTAATTGGCAGACACTTTTTTTTTAGCGTAAAAGGACCATAAAAGGGGGGCTGGACAACGCAACTTCGCTCTCAAACAAATTCTTGAGACACACCACAGAAATGGACGCAGTCTTTTTGCAGTATGCGGCTGTAGCACTGTTTATAAATGTGCAGAGCAGTCTATCATAAATATTTCTGTGACTGTTGTCACTTTAAATCAGATGAACTTACCACTTATAGCACCATTAATTGACGACGCTGCCTGACCATTATTATCCTTCATATACTTTTCCATTATTCCACCACGGTGAAACTATTAAAAATTCCGCACATAAGATGAATTTATCAAAAAACTGAACTTCGTCTGTAACTTATATGAGCTTACCAAAACCTCTGCTGTTGAGTATACCAATTATTACTATAAGACCAAAATTTCACCGAAATATAACCATAAAGCACTACCGCGTAAATAATGCCAGACATCTCAAACTATTTATCGAAACCAAATAATACAAAAAGAGCTGAAGTAAACTATAAAAATTCAGTCATAAATCTGAATACCTGTATATCGTCATAATAAATCTTTGGCTTGCAACGATAAAGAAAGCGGAACGAATGCATAACTGTTCCTACGAAATCTAATGACTTCTTGTAAAGCACCTGCATCTCTTCTGCTGAGAAAACTAAAATACATGATCAATGCAAAACAATTGAATCACTGCTTTTTTTCAATAAAATTGGCACCATCGTTCATATGTTTACACTTCATACTCTGAAGCATAGTCACGAACCTGCTTTCACGCAAGTCGTTCCAAGAGCAACAACGGTATTGTTTGCATCGCGCGCGGATAACTCAAGCTGAAAAATGATGAGGAGCATTAAATATTAGTTTGAGCATAACAAAGAAATTATACGCTATTTCTTCAAACCATGAATACGCTTTCAATATCTCAAAATTTAAATGAACATTTCCGACCGATTGTCCCTAATGAACTTGAAGCTATGTAAAATAAAATAAATACATTAATTACACTTTCCTAAGATACAAAAAAGCAAAATTCAAAGGTAAGACTCTGAAACAAATGATAAAAATTAGTACCTGAAGACTATAAAAGACTATCATTTCAGTTGACTAGTTAATTTAAGGAGATCACTAAAACAATTTATTCACACACATTAAGCATAACAGAAAAGACTAACTCAAACTTAACCCATACTTTAATTATTCGAATTTTAAGTAACGCCAACAATGACATGTTTAAAAAACTTTTGTACATTAATAACACCTCAATGAATACCATAGTCAACCAAAATCATAAATGCCATTTATTACATGGCTCTCTTACGATGTGCACCGGAAGTACTGCTTACCTTATATACTGTGCCCGGTGTAGTTCTTAACTTGTATGATAAAATATGTGCCGGAAAATCATATGTGTCGCACTTAACTCCTTCCCAAACTTCTAGCTTGTATGCATATTTCAGCGTTTCTGAAATTGATTTAAAAGTGTTCAAAATGAATTCTGAATAATAAGTGATATCTTTTCTCATATGAAGGATAAAACATGTCGAGTACTGTGACTAATTGGTATCTCGAATACATAACAATACATTTATACACAGCTTTATTTTCCGATTTCTTGAATCATCTTATCCTTACATTTTTTTTAAATGCCCAGTAATTACTTAATTATTTCCTTTACGAATTCAGAACCCAAAGTGCCAACAATATAAAACTTCAAAAGAAAAATTTTCACGTGATGTCATGGAAAGCGAACTTGATATTGTCGGTGATTTCCATTCTATGTTACAATTAAGCGCTGAGGATTGAACGCTGATGTTTATAGGCGTAGGGCGCGGGGGTGCAGAAAAATCTTGATACAGTGGTACATTGGGAGATCGAACCGGACGCAACGATGGAGGTGGCATTCCTGGACCTGCAAAAAGATACTAACATCATTGAATTCATATTTCCTTTCTCTGTTTCAAGCACATTTTCACCCGTTTTAATGTGCACAGTATAAAATCATTCATTCCACTGAACAATTCATTTTTTACAGTCATTAGTTTCTGATTAAAGCTGAATAGAATTTGATTAAAAAGATTTCTGAAGCAAACAACCTTTTTGCATAGACTGGTCTCAGATACCATCAACTTCTAATTTAATGAGAAGATTGTAGTTAATTGCTGTAAAATAATGAAACGATGAAGCGAATAAGATTATAACAAAGAGAACCAAATACTATAAATAAGGCATGACGACTTAATTCTCAGCTTCACAATAACTGGTATACAGGGTGTCTATCTGAACTTGCTTGACTAATTCTATTCAGTCGTAAAAAAACCAACCGGCATGAGGAGTCACGAGTTCAAGTGGTATCCTTGGAATACGAAATGGAGGAGCAATAGTCATGCGTATCATATTTATATCTGGTTTCATAAATGGTGGTGACAGGTCCGGCGGGCGAGCATACGGAAGTGGAAAACGTGCAGGTCGACGCTGCCATGCCAGCACCGGCCGGTATGTCGACTCCATTTCAGAATATGAAAAGTCGGGTTCGCTCCACATCCGAGCCTGAAGTGCAAAACATATACTATTCTGCAGTTACCTTAAAATCAACAGCATAATGTCTATACAAATGCAAATAATGAATTACTGACTTATTTCACTGCAAAATGAGATTTATGGCTTTAAATGGTTAGTTAAAAAGTTATATTGAAAAAACACAAGGATATTTCGCATAATCAAATGTCGCCAATCCAAAGGATGGCTAACAACCGGTCACGCATACCGCATCTGGGCAGTCCTGCCCGCTATCATCACTTTACCTCTCATCCGTCCATTATGCAACCTTTCCGGAACAAATGGCAAGAAATCGTTCCAAGATCTGAATTGTTTGTCATAGCTCAAATTTAATATTTTGTCACTGTTTCATTCAGTCCTCGCCGATATATTTAGGAGAACTGTAAATAAATTATAAAAGCGTTAAGAAAAACATCCGCAGTAACAAATATTGCTTCATTGATTTTTTACCCCACAAAGATTAATTTCAGCACGATTTATGGACATTTGCACTTTTCTGTCAAATGATGCATAATTTGCGTTTTATTTAAAACTATCCAAAACAAAAATTGAGTTAAAATAACTCCAGAAGAGTAAGAAACAGAAAAAACAACTAAAATCTCTTCAGAATTACTACCATGGTGTTGGATAACAGAAGAAAACTTTTTAATTGGAAATTTCACTGGAATATGCATATCATTTCTCCAGCAATCATCGCAGGTATTGGGCGGTTTTTTTAAAGGAATGTTTTCATTTTGAAAGTCTTTTTAACCTATATACAGACTACTAAACATTAGCAAAAAAAGAACTGCATGTGATATTGGTTTCGCTCCAGTGTGAAAATAATGCGTAATGGTAGTCATAAGATTAGCAGTCGGAATAATGTTAGTATTAAAAAACAGTTACTAGTATTGCTGCGGAAAAGATTGTTTACGCTGACGTTAAGCATTAAAATAAATTAGAGTAAAAAATAATAATTTAACACTGTTAAAACGAATGCTAGTAACAGTCTGTTTTAGGTAGCAATCTGAGAAAATGGTATGTGAGCAGCGTAAAAAAAAAAGGAAAATGAGCAGTGTAAAAGAAACTTTAACTTGGCAATAAATGTAAAAATACTAAAGTAGCAGTAAAAAAAATTAAAAACGACGAAATATAAAGAAATATTGTCAACTTTCAATGAGAAGGCTAAATTATGCGTGCCTATAGCAATGAAGATAAATTTGATAACTTTCTCAGATCAATTTAATGTGGAAATAAGCTTGGAAAGCATAAATGATTACTGCACAAAGATTTTTGTACTTCAAGAGGAAGAATTATCATACGAGTTTCACCTTCATATTGCTACTAATTTGAACAACAACTTTGTGCTCTTTATGAATAAGTGAAAATTCATATTTCCTGAAACATTTGAATCCATCTAATATTCGATATTTTGCAAAATTTTTTTCGTGGAACCTCACAATCTATCTTTATTTCCGTGAAAAATTTTTCTTAGAACATAAGGAAACTCCTATATCAAATTTAATTTCTTAATAATTGTTATGTGAAATTGCGAAGAATGTCGAGTAATTTACTATAGCATAGTTCAATATTGGTCTTTTTTTAATCTATTGGTTCCGCAGGCTATCAGTCACTCTAACTATCTGATTTCCATTGGTATTACTGACTAATACAAATGTACAGAATTTCTATGGCAGATTTGATTAGAAGCTTTAAAATATAATTTAAATATTTGCGCTCATAATCATAAAATATTACTGCACTGTAGTTTTTAAATAAAATGAATAAAAATAGCACATTGTTTATCCAGTATTAATTCACCTATATATATTTAGGGCAACGAATTTTATTAAAATCTCCGCTTTGATGGTTTGAAGTTAATATAACCAGAAATGATTGCTATTTGTGCAAAGACAATTTTCATCTCATCCTACCGCTTTCAACTTTTAGCAAGATTCCACACGTGTGCTTTGTATATATTTGTTGGTCTGCCCTACCAGAATAGTTTTTAGATCTTATACCTGAAAATGGTTTCTGTGTCCTTTGATACAAATTTTCTTGTTTTCTCTCTAATAATTTTCATAGATTTTATCACCGTCATATAATTTATGTCTCACTGTGTAGACAAAAGATTTGATATTTGAATTACTTTGTCAAAATATCTTTGGAAAACTACAACTTCTTAATTTGGGAATTCAACAAACGTAGTATACTCATCGCAATTTGTTAAGTTTGTAGCATCCTGTTGTCACTCAACTTCCAATACTTGGACATCGATTAGTTTCATTGGATCTATTCCAAGAATTTTGGTCACACAAAACCAAAACTATCTGTTTAGGATTTCTAACCGAGAGGAATTATTATGATGATGAAAATTATTTTGTATAATGCATTGGAAAACAAGATAATTACATCCATCTTGATTCTCAAATACTTGTTAATTGGACACCTTTAAAATTTTGTGTTTCCAAATCACCGACGTAACATGCTTAAATGAATCTATAACATATAAATTTCAGAGGCTTCATATTGCTCAGAACTCATTTCTTTCTCGACATTAAGTTCCTTGAATCGAGATGCTGTTTGAAGGGATTTGAGAATTTCGAAATTTCGACTTCCGACGATGTATGATAATTTCTGCAGAGAATGTGTCCCGGAATCTTTAATCAAACCACATAAAAGCTTTCAGTCTTATCGAGGCATGCATTACGTAAACAAATGTCTTGGAAGGACTACACCTTGTTGAATAAGTGGGATTTTATGTCAAAAAACACCTTTCCGCTTCATTTAAATCAGGAAACTTCGAAAGAAACCCAAGTGGCGTACAAAAAAAAAGCAGTGCACGGAATCCATTTTCTCAACTCCATCATTCTTGAAAATTGTCGTCATTGCCTCGTCCTTACCATCGATGACTATCCATTCCAAACTGCCGGACCCTACTTTAAGTTATGTCAACCATACCTTTATCAGTGTGAGCAGTCGTCACAAGCACTCGTCACAACGCTACGAGTAAACAAATTTTCAAAGAGAGTCGACGTAGCATCGCTCAAATGACCGAATTTTCTTGACAAGTCGCAATCGATTACGTGTGCATAACAGTCAGCCTAAATCTACCCTGTCTGCTGAAGCATGTTTAGGTGTGTGGGTGGGTTAGCTGGAGGCGGGAGCTAACCTGGGTGGTCCGTGATTTGTGGTCTGGGTGAGCATGACAGGACTGGGGGTAGGTGTTATGCTTCGCATGATCTCTATCCGTAATTATTGGAACGCTGAAAAGGAGCAGTGATCGAGAAGTAATCTCTATTATATCTGTGCGTCCCCTCACCGCCGAAGTTCTAAGTTTGGACATGCTAAATTGGTAGCTTGCTATATGTCTCCCTAATAGAAGCTGTATGCAAACTATTATAAGGAAGTAGGCTGAAATTCTTCTTTGATAAAAAATGGAGCCAGTAGTATGGGCTTTTTGCTATTATAACGGAAAAGAAATCATAGAGGATACATTCCTTATCGTTCATTCGCTTTAATATTCCTTACTGTTTGGTTTATTGACATTGCTCTGCGAAGTTTTGAGGCTCAATGTTTTATAATAGTGAGTGTTTCTTAAGATATATGATCACACAGGATCAACTGTGATACCTCTTCAGACTGAATTTAGGGCGTTATAAAGCTATTTAGGTTTAGTGTTTGGTTTTTACACAACGGATGGCTTCACATGTGTTTAAGAGATGACTCGATTTAGTCCTGCGTTTACGATATTTCACTCTAATTCATGAAAAAAGGATTTTGATTTTAAAAAAGGTTGAACCGTAATGTTGGGTGACGAGTGGTGAATTTTCGTTTATTTGTGTTTGCAGAGGTAGAGAAGTTTGGAAAAGACCTCGGAGTGGTACGTTTGGGTTGGTGCCTCGGTTGCTGGATAGACTGTGCCCGAGTGTATATTGGTCTGGTATGTTAATCTTGTATCACGACGTTACTGATCTTACAGTATACCCGTTTACTTGAGTAGTTTATTCAAAAATGCATATTGCCAGTCATGAAGTGGTAATTCATTACTTGTTATAACTTTTGAGAATAGATGTTTTATGATTGACACATAAATGCACATTTATGATAGTGATTTTGGTTGTGGGAAATATATTTCCGTTTACTAATTGACCCTACAGGATCACCCTACAGATCTTACAAACCTACAGGATCATGCTGTAATGCGTATTCTGCAGGCATAGCGACTGCGTGCTGAAGTTAGTCTGTTGAAGGTAGTTTGTAATGCTAGTTTTCAAGCGTTCTTTCTAATCTATTGCTGTCCATAATTTTCGTTTGTTATGCTCAAAAAAATTAATTGTACTTTTACGCTGCACCTTGTAGTTCTAGAAACAGTAAATGCCATCAGTCGTTTATCTGCTTTTTCTCTCGAAAGGAATTTGAGATTTTACTGTGTTGCTAGTGATAGTGGGTATCGTAAAATTGTTTTTTAATCTCCATGTGTATGTTACCAATCTTTAGTGATATTTGTTGCAGTTATCATCTTGTTAATTGGCGATGTCAGACGGTAGTAGTGATGATCGGCACCCTCCACACGGAGAGCAAGAACTTGCAAGCAAAATGCTACAAGTGCAAAGTAAACGGTTTTATGTTGATGTCAAGCAGAATAACCGAGGTCGTTTTATCAAACTTGCGGAAGTAAGTTTGTTTATGGCAGTTGAATCAACAAATTGAATTATTTGGAAAGAATTCTGAAGTGGCTATAATTATTGCCAGTTTATCGTACTTTCGTGAAAAAAAAAGCAATTGAAATATTTTCAATCTGACTTAATCCAAGCTTTTGTTAATATGTTCCATGTAACTATCTCATTCAAGTATATGTTGTTTTAGTGCTCAGCACGTTTTATAAGGTAATCTAATTCAGGTTGGCTTAGGAGGACGAAAAAGCCGATTGATACTGTCAATGAGCGCAGCAGTTGCGTTTCGTGATCATCTTGATAAATTTGTCAAGTTCTTTGATGGCCTCGGTATTTTATGAATTTCAGTCTTCGTTAATTTTTTTTCGTGAGGGTTTTTTTAATTTTTTCAAAAAAGCCGAATTACATGTTCCAGCTTCTAGTGAGGAGCCTTATCACATGTTCCAGCTTCTGGTGAGGAGCCGATTGTGGGTGAAAATGGACAATTAAAATCGGAAATAATCGTCCATGAATCTCGTCGATATTATCTTAGTTTGAAAGAAAATCAAAGGGGGCGTTATTTACGTGTTTCCCAAAGAGTTTCGCGAGGCAATTCAGGTCCTCGTTCACAAGTACGTTTTCTAAATTGTGCTTTGAAATTTAAAACTAACAAAGTTATAATGAAGTAAACACTGGTGATGGTTTTGTTTAAATATGTTTATAGATAGCATTACCTGCACCTGGCATGACTCAGCTGCGCGATGCACTGAATGAACTGATTGATAAGTACGCAGAAGGATATCTTAATGATGTAAGTTATTAAATTTCGTTATAATTAGGAAGAGAGATTTTGAAAATTCCACAGTTTTTTTTAGTACGTTTTTTTGGCATGTATTTGTTAGAACAATTTTTATAGAATGATGCAAACGTAGAATTGCCCGAACCGAAACATGTGCGTGCTGAAAATAAAATTTTCTATTTCGATGTTGGGCATAATGAGCGCGGTACTTTTGTACGTATATCCGAGGTATAATCTCTTGCTTGCTTTTTTTGTGCTTAGTTGTAATTAATCGAATTTTCCAAACCTGCTTGGTCATATTCTGAATCTTGAGGGTTCATTGTTTTCGCAGATTTACAAGTTATTGAATTGAACTTCTGGTGCTTTTTCTTAAAGTTTGGAAGTGAAACAAAGATGAAGACACTTCATCTTGTTCGTCGTTCTTACAACTTGTAATTTTAAGGTTAAGCAGATTTCTGGAAGTCGTTCTTCAATCGCAGTACCAATGAGCTCTTGGGGAGCCTTTCGAGATGTTCTAGCAGAACTACAAGAAAAAATGTTGGCTGCAAAAAGAGCTGAAAATGATGCTGAAGGAACGACCAAGTCGGATGTTAAGCTCGAGCATAATAAAGAATGAGTATTTCTATATTTCAAACTATTTTGACAAAGTTTGTGACGTTGAATTGTTAAGCTCTTTCCGCCTACGTCTACAATCATTTCGCTCCGTATACTCAGCTTAGGATTACTAGAAATACTATTTTCTCTAAAGACCTCTTATACTTGGTTTGCAGAGTCTCGCATCGGTCAGAATTCTGATGTGTTAAAGTGAATCAACCACTCTGTTTTATTTTGGGTTCATGTTGATAGTCCCCACTCTCCACTCATTCCTAATTCTTTCTTTGTTACATTTTCGCGTGCAGACGTCAATCATTATAAAGTACCTCAATAATAAGTTTGAATTTGCCGTCATGTTACTTAATAAAGTTTAACTTGGCTAATTTTTTGCAGTTTATTTTGCTGTTAATTGTAGTTAACTCGATACCTGATTACTTCCTAAACAACTCTCTATTAATTTAATTCATTAGGTGCGTGGTCCTGCGGAGTTTGTAGTTTAGTAACCGTCTTGTATTTTTCCAATGTTTTCATTCATTGTACGCACCGTCGTCCTCGTTGTTGTTGTTCATATGGTCTCCCTCTCTCTCTCTCTCTTTCTCTCTTTCCCTCGATATTTTTATCATGACCTCTTTTAGCAACAGATTCTTATTCGTTATTAGCGTCTTCGTTCTCGGGGTTATAGGGAACCCGTCTTGAAAGAAGTGGTTGTCGTTTTATTATTGTTTTTTAATTATGTAGTACTGCGAACAGAATGTTATAATCTTGAAATTTGTTTAGTCTGGAAATGATGTGCATGCGAGTGAATATACTCATGCACATGCACATGTTCTGCTTGTTCCGTTTCGAGAAGCGGGCTTTTTAATATTGATTGTATTTGAAGAAAAAGCATTTTATTGAATTTATGTTTGTGTAATATGTTCTTGTAGATGTGTTGTTTGAGTTAGTTTCATATGAAGATTTGGTCTGTGAAATTTTTTTTTTCATTGGTTTTTCTTTGATATTCCAATCTTCATCGATCTTGCACAGGCTACAGCTGTAATTCAGTAACTGTATTAAATGGAGTAGGTTTCAATTTGGAAACTTTGTGATCTGGGAAATAAAGATATTATTGATCTATCGTATGTGATATGTCCGTGTAATTTTCGGTGGTACTTTTAAGTGGGTGGTCGCGATTTGGATATGGTCCTTGAGTATTCTCTTCATTTTCCACTCTGATTATGTGCCGTTTGTTGGTCGGTAAAATTGGATTGAATTTTATCTGGTATGCAGTACGATTTAAGTTTCATATTATTTTTGGGACTAGTTGGTGAGTTTGTTAAGGAAGAATCAATGATGGAATTTATATTGCTGAAGGTGGGTTCCCTAGAAGAATGGAGCATTCGCGACAGCATCATAGGATGATATATGTTTGCAGTTATCGGCACCGTTTCATTTCGTCAACGTTAGGAGCCGTTAGGATGTTTTGGTCGGAATGGACAATGAATATCCTATCAGGCTTCCCTGACCACATGTATTTTCTGGTTGTGTTATTGTCACTTTGATAACGGTCACTTCATCGTTCCCTTAAGTATGGTGCCGTGATCGCTCATTAACTTAGCCGATTTTCTGTTCCCGAGATTACATTTCAAGAATTAGTTCCCTCTCGGCTATATGTGCTTGTGATTTGAATTTAGAGGAGTTCTTGGACATTTGGTCAAAAACTAGTATGATGTGGTTAGTTTTAAAATAATTTGAAGGACTGTAGTAGGCAGAATCGTTCCATCCCTCTGTGGTTCTCACTGACACTAATAGTACCTCTAATCGGTTTCCGTTTCTGGTCACAGTTGTGTTTCCGTGACGCAAGTTCTGCAAAGAACATGGCTGTCGTCTTTTCCAAAGTGGTGATCAAATTAACCTGTGACTCTCCTGGCCATCTGATAGTGCTGTGAGTCATTCCCCTGTTTTATTGGAGTTAACTGTGCCCATGATGAGAAGTCCTTCGAATTGAAAGTGTCGCCGCTGGGCATTGAGCACGTTGCCGCTCGTTTTATGGTTGGCGTTTCTCAACAGTGTTGTTTGAAAAGCACAATGTAGTTCCTGCTCTTCTTGGCTGTACTGTTTACCTATTCTACCGGGGTACTTCTCTAACTCTTTTACCTTCATTCCACTTCCTGTCGCATATTCTTCATATAATTA